GATAGTTTCTTAGAAACTGAGACTATTTTTTAGTTTAAGAGCAGTTTTTTTTAGGGAAAGGGGACAGAGGAATAAAGGACACTGACATAGTCACAAGTGGGCAGAAAGGGCTGCCAGAAACTGGGACTTTATAGCAAACCACATATAATGAAGCAGGTCCTCAAACAAATTTGTTTTATTAAACTTTGGGATTTCTTTCTCATCAGTGTTAGAATGAAAGGACCTGTTATATCTTTAAAGAACAGAAATGGAGTAAGTAAGTTCTTAATTGCAAGAAAATCTATTTGAAAATGTCAGCATAATCATTTTGGAAAATAGTCATAAAATTTCTGTCTGAAGATGTTAATGAAACTCCAGTCTATTTTTTCCCTTTTTCATTAATATTTTATCTTATTATGATATATTAATTGGTTAAATAGTCAAGATTTGAGTCTGCTTGATATTTTGGGATTTCAAGCAGAAGTCTTACTTTTTGTGAATTTTCCAGAGTCACATTGATTAGGCATCTACAATTTGATTGAAATTGCTGCATGAATTTCCAGGGACAATGTTATGCCTCTCAATGCATCAGGAGGCCTTTTCAAATCTCCATGTTTTATCCATTTATTGGAAAAGAATTCCCAATATAAAACACTCTGTGAAAGCACTGCCTTGGCATGCAGTTAGCTAGCATTTGTTTCAGAGCAGACAGACCTGTTTTTTCCCAAAGTTATGAATCAGTTTGAAAGAAAACAAATAGAACCACACTATGTGTAAACTTCTCTTTCATACCTGTGAATTGTTGAGATGCAAAGTCAATGATTGGAGTTAGCTTTGCTCAGTGAACAGTATTTGCTTGAATTATATACTTTTAAAATATTAATACAATTTAAGAAGAGAATCTCAGTATCATAGTGAGTGTGTCTTGATGACAAAGATTTTTCTTAATTTTCTGTTACTCCTGATAAAAATGGTATAAAAGCTCAGGGAGTGTTTCAATATTCCTGACAGTAAGAGCCAAATGAACTGATTTGACCCTTGGCTTTTGCTCTAAACCTTGGTTAGAATTATCAGTAAGCCATAGAAAGAATAAATGACAAATACATACAGCTTCAACTAATCAAGTATTCGTTGCACCATTGACCCTTACCTATGTATCTTGTTTATCTGCTTCTTTCTTTGTTAAAATTGTCATATAATTTACATATAACACATTAGTTTCCCTGTTTGCCACAATGTGTGTGTATGTGATATATTTGCACATATAAATACATCGCAAAAGGACTGCCCTGTTAAGTGGAGTTAACACTTGTCATCTTACATACTTAGAATAGCATTTTTTCTTGTGATAAGAACTTTTTTTTTTTTGAAAGATTTATTTATTTGTACATACAGAACTGGGGTACAGGCCAGAGGCTCAGGGGCGGTGAGAGGCTTCACCAGAGACAGTGGGGAACAGAACAGGCAGATCGACAAAGTACACTGCTGAGGGGAGCAGCGGGCGGGTCAGGAGAGGTCTGCCTCGCCATGTGGTCTCCTCCGGGGCAGGCGGGAATCGAACTCATGCGGAAGTGGCCTCAGCTTCTCAGTGCAGTGCTTTAACCCGCTGCGCCACCAGGGAGGGCCCTGATAAGAACTTTTAAAATCTCTTAGCAACTTTCATATATGCAGTACATCATTATCTATCATCACCATGCTGCAGAGTACATGGTTTATTTTATAACTGGGAGTTTGGATCTCTTGATCTCCTTCACCCCTTTACCCACTCTCACCTATGGCAAAATACAACTGTTCTCTGAATCTGTGAGCTTAGGATTTTGCTTTCTTTGTTTATGAGTTGCCACATATAGCACTTCTTCAGTATCTTGAGTTATTTCACTTTGCATAATGAATAGAAAAAAAACACTGATTCATTCTACAACATGAATGAACTTCAGAATGGAATGAAATGAAATCATACTTTAAACTTCAGTATAGCTCAACTAAGTGATGAAGCCAGTCATAAAAGACCATATTTTATATGATTCCATTTGAAATACATCTTCCATAGGCAAATTTATATAAATAAAAAGATTGAGGATTGTGAGGAGGTAGGTAGTGGATTGGGAGGAGAACTTTGGGAATGCTTCTAATGAAGGGAGCATCTTTTGGGGTAATGTTATCTGGATACTAAGAATAAATTGTATAGTACAAAAGGGTGAATGTTGTGTGAATTATATTTCAACAAAAATATCTATACTTTTCTATTTCTTATATATACCAGTCATAGTTGTCCTACTTTCCTGAGTTTTCTCTTTTCTCATGTAACATTTTCATACCTGGTCATCATTTATTGATTGTTATTTGATACTTATTTGCAACAGAAAATATAAGAGGGTATGTATAAGAGGGTATGTATCTATTGTGACTAAAAGATGTCAAGTTTTAAGTTTTTGTTTAAGATGGTTGATAATACAAAATTGATTTAAAAACAGATAATGTTACAAGTATTTGATATCATAAGTGTTTAAAAACATTTTGTTTTTTAACTGATGATTAAATTATGTCTTCTTTTAATTTTGCTAAAAGCAAAGGACTGGAAACCACTTGATTTGGAAAAGAATATGTTACCTAGCCATTATTTATTTAATTTCTCAAAGACTTGGACAATATCCAGAACTTAAGAATTTGCCAAATCATATCAAGATGATGTGATTGTTTTCTTATTTTCACCTTGACACACCTTATTTGATCTGATATACTTGATACGGATTGAAATAAATTTTAATCTAAATAAATTTTAATCTAAATAAATTTTAATCTAAAATAGCACTGCATTATTTTTATTATGGAAAATAAGCTACCAAATAAGTTAATTGGCAAAACCAGTTCTCATTTTCAAAACATTCATCCAGTCTTTCATGTAATGTCTGTGTCTTCTTTGTAATGGAAGAAGCAAGGTTTATAACAAAAATAATTATTTGGTACTTTCACACTAATTAGATAGCATGAGGCTGATAAATTGTTTCATTTTGCAGAGTATAAGGGAAGTTATGAAAGTAAATTGGAAAGTGATTACCCAAGATAATATGTATATGTTCTTAGCAGATATCTATTTTTTTAATTCTCATGCTTTATATCTTAATATGCTAAACTACATCAACATGTGGCCTAATACCAAATTATCCTTTGTCCTTGACTTGTTTGGTGTGTGTGTGTGAGTTCTATTCAGTATTACATTTAGAATTCATTGGCTCCGTATTTGTTAGCAATGTTCTCTTGGTAATTTTGGTGAGAGGTTGGTCTACACTTGAAATTAAGGTTCTGTTTATGTATACGCCTTTAAACCCGTCCCCTGCTTTGCATCCCTTTCAAAGTGTTTATGTCTAGGAATATGCAGCTGCAGCTAGAAGGCTGCTGTTCTCCTCTTTTTTGGTCTTGTGAATAGAATAGCCTGGCAAAGCATACATTTTATGTGTGTGTGTATAGTGTAAGCAATATTAATATGTTGGTACACTTCCGGTTGGTACACTTGAATCACATTTTGCCAGAGATCCCATGCCTGTGCGTGTTTGCCTTCTACATCCCTCTCCTGCACTCATGAAAGATTTCTCTTAGTGCCCAAATTGAACCTCAGAATCCCTCACAACTGGCACCTTCTCCTAATTGATGGGAACAGACATAGAAGGTGATTTGCTTTCAGAGCAGTTTTACTGGTTTTCTTAGCATATTTTTATTTTATCTTTGTAATTTAGATTTTTCTTTTTTTATTGATTTTTAATTAAAGTAACACAGTACTTGAACATTACGAATCAATACAGATCACTAAAAGCTGAGTTCTGTCACTCACCATACAATTGACTCTATTTACCCAATTTTGTTTATTGTGATTTTCTGTGGTTAAACTTACTGTCCTTAAGTTAGCTTAGAAAAATGTATTGAGAGACAGTTCTTCATGGACTTTTTGCTTTTCTGTACATTTTGTGACCGAGCTTTGGTTGCCTTTGTCTGTTCTATCCTTTGGAGACTATTTCTGTAGGGAGCAACTTGAAAGATAGAGTGACTGCAGTCAATGGTTTGGAAGTGCCGCTGCCTCTGTCTCAAGCAAAGGCGTAAGCATGTTACTGCCCTTTACAAAGATCACATTTCCAAAGCTCAGGGCTCCTTTTCTGTATCACAACCCACTTTAAATGCAGGTGCCAGCTTGCCCTGTTCCAATGGCTCTATGAAAGTAGGATTTGGAGCAGGAAAAAGCTATCTCCCACCTACTCTTACTGCTTAATAAACTCTATGCTTCTGACCCCCGAGTCTGTTCTGCTAGCACTCATGAGATTGTGACAGGCTAACTTGTTAGCTTCACAACTCTTGACAATAAGTAGGAAATACAAATAAACAAGCAAATAAATAGGTAACAGGGTTCTGCTCAGAAGTATTATTTTTATCCATGTTTTTCATTAAAAATTGCACTATATATTATTTATATAAATGTAACATAGGTTTTTCAGATTTTTTCCTCAGGTTAAAATGAAGTTTTGGCATAATTTTGCTATTTATATATATATATATTTTTAAAGATTTATTTATTCATATAGAACTGGGGTACAGGCCAGAGATGCGGAGGGTGAGAGGATTCACCAGAGTCAGAGCGGAGAGCAGAACAGACAGATCGATGAAGTACACTGCTGAGGGGAGCAGCGGGCGGGTCAGGAGAGGTCTGCCGCACCATATGGTCACCTCCGGTGCAGGCGGGAATCGAACTCATGCGGAAGTGGCTTTAGATTCTCAGTGCTGTGCTTTAACCCACCGCACCACCAGGGAGGGCCCTTGCTATTTATATTTAATGATAGTTTTAAAAACATGAGCCATCTGTTTTTCTTATGCATATAAATGTGTATATGTATGTGTGTATGTATGTATTGTCATAGATTGGTATCTATATTTGTTTTGAAAAAACAAATCAATCTTGCTTTGCTTAGTGCTTAGTCACATTTTTAAGAATTAATCTTAATTCCATACATGTCATTATGATGTATTGTTTCCAGAATATTGGAAAGAAGATGACCTGCCAAGAGTTCATTGCAAACCTCCAAGGGGTAAATGAAGGAGGTGATTTCTCCAAAGATCTACTAAAAGTAAGCATTGATATACTGTATTTTTAAATATTTTATATGTTTATATGTTCTGGCTTTTAATCGAAAATAGGCTAAGAATCATTTAAGTGCTTTGTTTTGGTGTTATTGGCGGTGTGTCTGTGAGGCCTTGTCCGTGGTGTGTCAGACTGCAAAATACTCTTAAATTAATAATTCCTTAAAGTCCACATGGTTGTAAGACTGAAGTCATACATTGACTTGGAATAATTGCTGATACCAGTACTAAGTGGGCAGTTTTTAATTATTTGTAAGTAGACTGTCAGAATGTGAGAAAAGACTAACGGTGTATTAAACAAGGAAACAAAAAGGCAGTTGAAGTATTTCAAGACTGTAATGGAAGCAGTCTGACTATATTCAGGCCACAGAAACAGAGCCACTCAGGTTGTCTCTGGAAACAGATTAAATCTGAGTAAGCCTAGAATACCTGAATAATTTTCTTTCTACTTTATTCTTGGTATCAGTCAGTGTGACTTTCCCTATCAGATTGTTTTCAAGGAGACAAAAAAATCAGCTTAGAACTCATAACATTCTACAGCAGTATACATGAGATGTGTGTTTGATCAAGTACAAAAGTTATTGATAATGGATGTGAGTCTCGTAGAGGTTCAATATAAGATGTGTATATTAACAATGTGAGTTTTACAGGTTTCCATTTGAATCTAGCCTTTTTAATAATTTCGTGTACATACAGATTTCTTTTGCAGTCAGTTCCTTGGAATGAATTTGCTAAAGGAAGGTGACATATTTGAATCATGTTATAATATGTAAATGTGCCAGTCAAGATAATTCCTATATTTTATGTGATTTTTTAAATATACAAAATGGAATTCTGCCAAATAAGAAAGACTTCCATAGAAAATGAAAAAGGTATAAAATATGGTATAATGAGATTCTAAATCTGACTTGAATTGCAGCTCATTAAAAAATTACATTATGAAAAAGGCAGGAAGAAAAGTAGCTTCAGTTTATTAAATAAGCATGCTATTTTTAAAATTATTTCTTTATAGAACAAGTGTTCCCTTTTCTGAAGCTACAATTCCAAATGGGGATGGGAAATGAAAGGTGTTGGACTGGACATGATAAATGTTTTGTTCATCCATTGAACTACACAGTAGACATATGCTAACAAGTCTTTTTTTAGTGTCGTGCTATTAGCATGGAAAATAATGGAGTCTCTCTAAGAGAATTTGTGAGGCTTTTATCAAGTTATGTCAAAAATGAAAATTGACAGGAAAATTTCTTATAGTGAAGCTTTTAGATTTTAGTGGTAGGTTTAGAATGATGTGCATGACTGTGTGTAAATTACTGGGCAGATTTAGAGCATGTTTGATGAAGCTGTCTGAAAGCAAATGTCGTTAACATGTAGTCCAATGGCTACCATTCACCTTGGGTAAACATTGCTTCTTTGATTTACACTGTCAAGAATTTGCTGGATGATTTGTTGTAGTTGTAAAATTGAGATCATGTTTACAAACCTCAGGGGGAGAATATGTATTATACTTTTCTTTGTTTACTGTGGGAAGATGACAGTGAAGTGACACTTAAATGACAGTGGCATTTAGCATGGAAATTGTCAAGTAAAATATTGATTCCCTTTCATAACAAGCCCCAGCGACTCACCCACCCAAGATTAATTTTTCATTTCATTATGAATCTAGATTTTACTGCAAATTTCAACAAGGAAGCTTTCCTCCAACCATCTTGTTTTATTTCACTTTCTCTGTGGCTATTTCTTTCCTCTTCCCTTCTCCAGCTTTCCCTCCTTTTCTTCCTCTCTAGTTCTTTTTTCTTTTCTTCTTTGTTTTTCTTTTGATCTTGTCTTCTTTCTCCATAGATAAATCTTGATTCCCTGCTAACATAAATTATTGAGGGGATATTCATTTGATTTTTGTTTTTTTTTTTGTTTTTGCTTTTGACAATATGATTATATATGCCAAACAGATACATAGATAAACACAAAACACTTGGTATTACTTTACAGATTATAAGTCTCCAGTTAAAAAATTATAGTCATATACAATATTCAGTGTAATTTATGAACTGAGACCCTTAGAGTTACATGACTTGAACTCAGGCTTTTATTGTTACATAGAGACCTGATTCCTTTTAGATTTCTTTGGATCAAAATAACATCTGATTTTATATCTATTGTTTAGATTTCTTTGGGCCAGAAGTAATGTTCCCACTGATCTCTGCTCTACAGTGTGATTGTTTGCTGGGAATATTTATTGAAGATCCACTGTGTGTAACCAGGTGTTTGGATTTAGAGAATGTACTAGAATCAGGTGGACCTCTTTCCTCAGAGGTCACAAACTACTGAAAAAGATGAAAGAGTCTTTTGGTTTTAAAATGGACATTTATTACATATTTAAATAAAAGAGGAGACTGGGGACAGGGCTTTCCACTCAGTCTCATCCAGGCAGATACTAGGAACTCGTAGGAATTTCTTGAATGTGCCTCTGTCTCATGCTCCAAAGCTAACACCTTCCTGTTCTGTATATCTTTTTCCCACCTGAGTTCCTTGTGGACCTCTTTTTTTTTTTTTCTTTAATGGGAAAGCTGCATTTGTGTCCTCATTTGCCCTCCTTTTTCTTTACATCTAAGGGGAGACATAGGGACTTTGGGAGAGAATACCAGTTATTTAAATATTTAGAAAGGAAGTAGCCATTTCAAGATGTATCTGTGTGAAAGAAGGGAAAAAACAATAGTGAATAAGAACAAAGGAGCCAGTGGTTGAAAAGCATAGAGGATGGAAGACCTGTTACTAACTGCACAATAATTTGACTTTGAGGAGAATTCACGTTGAAGTTTGGACCATGAAACCCTAATTGTTTTGTAGCCCACATTTCTTATTGCCACCTACCATTTGATACTCAAAGAATGTTTTTCTTGATGTTTTCATAACGTTTAATACTCAAAAAATGTCTTCCTTGATGTTTTCACTGGTAGATCTTGAATTTTTTTCTTCTTCAGTAGCAACTGAATTCTACTGATGCCAAAGGGAATTAGGAAAAAATTAATTAGCAGAAATAGTCTCTTCAACTTAAGAGTTTTTATACCACATGAATGACATAGAGGACAGAAACAACAAAACCCCCACCCTGTTTAGGTGACTGTAATGTAACTAAAACACAAAACTGAAGACAATTTGCAGTGTTTTAAGTCATCCCTCTGCCTAAATCTGTTTAAGGGCACAAATAGCTATAAGAATAGTGCTACTAGGCATTGTCACAGAAAATCCTTTAAAAGGTCAGTAAATCTTACTTGGAAAAGTCAGTAACATACCACCTTTTCAGATTGTTGCTTATGATTAATTTTGGCTCACAAACTGACTTTGACACAGAGAACAGGGAGAGGCCAAAGAAAGAGAGAGGCCACTCCAGATTGGTAGGTGATAGTTTCAATGAACAGGGAAACTTATAAGGCTTGTCTTAGGAGACTGCCAAGATGATTAGCTTTCTGCACCTGCCCTCCAAATCTTAAGTTTGTAAAATGCTAACCAAGTTAAATGTGACCTGGTTGAGGCAAAGTGTAAGTATTTATTTGGGGTTTTATTAGCACTGCAGTCCTGAAAATACAGATTAAAGTCCTTGAATTATGCTTTGGTGTTGAGAAAATGGAGGAGGTTTATAAGTGGCTAAAACCACAATGAATAGGCAGGGTTGTTCTCATTCAGGTTTGAGATGCAAATTAGATGAATACTTCTAACAGTTTTCATATAGATTAGTGAAAAGTAAATTAGGTGAAAGTTGGTTAAATATTAGGATTGGTGCAGACCTGGGAAAGGAGTGTTGGTGAAGTAGGGAATGGTTCAGGTTCCATTCTGTGGGCGGTCTCCAGTGGAGGTTTCAAGCTGTGGGTCTCCTGTTGTTAGATGCTGATTCAGGAAGTGGCAAGTCCCACTTAGTCACAGCTCTTTCCCAGAGATGGACATGCTCATGCCTGCCTGGGCCTGCTTGTCAGTGGCCTACTGACTCCAGTTTAGTTCTGATTTAGGAGATTCATTTTGTGTGTTTCTTATTTTTTGTCAGAGGCTAAACTGAGTTCTGTCATATACCACCCAATGGTCTCAACAAGGTGTAAATGTTACCATCAAAGGAAACTAACTGGGTAAAAGGTGTAAGAATCAATTTTTTTCTTACAATTGTATGTGAATTTATAGTGATCTCAGCAAAACTTTTGATGAAAAAAAAGGTCCACTAAAGTTTTTTTTAAAAAAGCAGATGTGGCACTTCCTTTCTATTCAGCCAGACATTAAGGCATCATATAAAAATTAATTTGGTGAAATTTTGCTACTGTTAGATTTTTCTTTCAAAACACTGAATATCATGTTCAGCTTAGCTATAACTGTAGCAACATCAAAAACAATGATGTGGGAAAAAATGGTGTATGTAGAAAAGGCAATGGGAATGACTCTCAAGAGTTAAAAGCTGCAAAATGCCTCTTTTTTATTATTATCTTTATTACTCTGGATGTTGTCGAGAATTGTTTGGAATGAAGGAGGTGTACATTGGAATAGCTATTGAATTATTTTGAGCTTCTCAGTATAGTTTCTGTTGCTAAGTTATTTTCCCAGATTGCCACTCCATCCCTTCTTCTATCACCTGCATTCTAAGCTGCATGGAGTGGAAGAGCAATTACAAGTAGAAAAACCCTAATTGTTTCTTCTAAGTCTGTCAGGCCGAATGAAATAGAAGGTTCTGTCACAGTGTGAAGGAAGTAGTGTCACATTTCAGAAACAAAAGACCAGTATTTTACATTGGCTAGATAACTTTTTTTCTGTTTTCTCATGTGTAACATGGATAATTACACCTTCTCTGAGAGAGATGGATGTGAGGATTATATGGTGTGTACTCAGTGGCTAGCATTGTTATCCAGAACATGTTCCTGTATTCATAAATATTCATTCCTTTGTGTTTGATGCTGCTTCAGTTTTGTGATTGAGTTGTTCATGTTCATCCCTGGGTTCCCAGCCTACCTCT